AAGTGTAAAATCAAAATGTTCATAGCTGGATCAGAACAAATAATTTTTCTTAGAGAAACAAGTTCTAAACATAACAAACCATATAAAAAAAGTGAGTTCAACTTAATCCTTACTTATATAAGTAATCAATCATCAATTATCACTGAACATATTAAAGAACTAAGGCACAGGAAAAGGTTGAGTTGAAAAAAAAAAAAAATGTTTTCCCCAAACTTCCAAAAGTGACTACTCATTTCCTCTTCCCACATCATTATATATGTGACAATAACTGAAGATGAAACAGAGGATAGCTTCTTGGTCCCATTCATGACTCAAACTAAGTTGTTCTTGGTGTAAGTCAATGACGGTGACTTATCTACCTCTGATTATATAAATGCTTTATAGTTCTCTAGACAGTTTTAAATGTTCCTAGTTCACCATCTCATATAGGAAGTTGTGTCTCTTCACAAACAATATTTCTTCCCTTCAAACACATGGGAACACTTTTTCATTCTCCAGCTGATTCACTGAAACATCCTTGTAGGACATATACAAATTTCATAAGGTAAGAAATAAGATCAGGCCCATCAACACATAAGGGCTTTGGAACAAAGGTAAAAATCTTAGGATATTTGTAAAAGGTAATATTGAATAGTAAAGAACTGTATGTACTCATTGCCTTTGAAATAGACTTAAAGAAAAAAAAGTTCCAATCCAGAAGGACATTGCATTCACTCAAGGACACTAAGGAGCCCTAAACCTGAATATGGAATATCTGGAGACTTGGTACCAAAAGGAGTCCTTGATACCTTCATGTAAATCATGCATGCATATTCACAAAGAGTATTAAAAAGCTTTAGACAGAGCCTATATTGGTCTGAAATACTCTGCATCTGAAGTATATGATGACAAAAAAATATATATATATACTCTGTATTTCAGGGAAAAAACAAACAAACCAACAAATATATATATATATATTCTGTAACTTCTCACATTAAAAAAGAAGACTAATTGTGTTTAACACCTAGCCCTAGAATAAACTCTCTATTAGAAAGCTGGTAGTTTTCTTATTTTGTAACGCATTTTCAGTGTCTGTTAAAGTCTCAGGGAATCAAGTTTTAAAGCACCGTATACCTAATTTCTTAGCAGTTTTTCTCTCCACATGTTTGTATGCATCGTATCTCTCACCTCTATCCAAGATCATTATTTTACAATAATGAGGAGGCTTTTGATAATGACTTACAATGTGTGAGCGCCTCTTTATAAGTATCATATAGATAGATATACATTTATAATATTTCTACTAAGATTGGCAACCGTTTCAGATGTGATGCTTTCTGTTTTGCATTTCATCTATCTAGCTATCTTTTTGGTTTTTTGCTTTGCTTTTGCTACTTATTAAGCAAAAGAATGCAAAGAATAGACCTACTTATCTGGGAGAAAAAAATTAACAACATAAGTGGCCCCAGTGTTAAAAACACAGCTATTTCATAGGTGTGTGAACTTCCCCCTTTGTATGTGAGGTAGGTCACGTTCCTGTAAATGTTGAGGATGTAGATTTATGGGCTATAAATTAGAAGCATTAGCATGGGCAATTTCATATTATATGGATTCTCATTCTAGTCTATGTATCTATTGCAGAGATATCTGACTGACTCTATACCACACTTCTATGGGAAAGTGCTCTCTTTAAGGAACTGTGGCAGGAACTAAAACTTAGAATGAAACAGGAGGCATTACAGAATCATACTCTCCTTATGAGTCTGGTCCTCTAATATTGCCTCCAAAATAGAAGAAAAAAAAATTAAGTAAAAATCCTCCTATGGCCGAGAAAAAGGAGCTCTAGTAGCGTAGTGGTTACGAATCGGGCTGCTAATCTCATGGTCAGCAGTTTGAAACTACCAGCTGTTCCATGGGAGAAAGATGAGGCTTTCTGCTCCGGTAAAGATTTACAGCCTCAGAAACCCTGTACAGGGTCGCTATGAGTCGGAACCGACTCCACGGCACGTAACAACAACAACAATGGCCGAGAAAAATAATGAATATAAAGTTATTATTTTACAGAAATACGATCTTATTTTATTCCTGAGAGTCCATAGGCACTCACTGGCTACTTTCATGGAAGCTAATCCAGGAGAAATTACTTTAGCATGGAAGTGACTTTAATTAAAACCTTCTTTATTCGCTCTGCAAAACTCCTAAATGTTCACTTCTACTAACAAACAAGTTTGTTTTTAAATGTCTTAATAATCCAATCAAGATCAAGAAAACTGTGACATAAAATTGCAACTATGAAATTTATGTGTATTGCATCAAAAAAACAACATGTTAGCGTAAGTTATTGGTTCTTGCATAAAAGCTGCTCATAGCACCTGTCTATAAAGCGATGCATGAAACTTAACCAAGTTTCTCTTCTGACCCACTCACATAAAAGACCCCTGAATCTCTCAAAAACTCTAATTTTCTGTCTGCCATGGAGAAATCCATCCCTAGGAGAACCCTGCCACATTTGGGAGGAGAATTAACTTTCATCATTCATGTTAAAGCATCTCCAAAGTGAAGTCCAAATTGTAATTCTTTGTGACTGAGTTATTAGAAAGATGTCATTTCTTATTTGTTTTTTTATAGTGTAGAGAACGTTTTAAAGTGATTAGTTGTTTTCTATCCCCATAAGGTACATCACAATTATATCTTGTTTGCAAATGAGACAACACACATGCACATACAATAGGAGAACACGCTCCCATTTTTAATTTTTTTTTCCATCTTTGTGCTACAATTATTGTAGCTTAGTACCTTCTTGGCATCCTGGTGTGGCGCTGTGGGTTAATGCGCTGGACTGCAAAGTTGTTTGAATCACAAGGTCGGTGGTTCAAGCTCACCAGTCACTCCTTGGAAACCCTATACAAGGTCGCTATGGGTCAGAATTGACTCGACAGCACTTAACAACAACAATACTACCTTGTTGATTCCTGATTGAGAGACCATTGTTTTTCATGTAAAATATTGAATATGTCCATCATGGAAATGACTCTAAAAGATGAGGCTCCTAAAACTTCAACTTTGAAGCAAAATGAGAAAGAAACAGGACAAATGAAAATGACAGAATATCTTCACTAAAGAGAGACCAAATTGTTTATTAGAGAAGCAAAGGGGAATTATCTTGATAATCCATTACAATGTTTTAAGTTTAATTCCTTATTGTTATAACCTATTAAAATTAGTAGCCTCAGATCCAGTAATGGTGTGGGAATTTAACATGAAGTTGGTCTACTTCTATGGCAATACAAGATAATTACAAAGACTCCACAAGTGCTTTTTATCATGTCCTTTGAAAAGTACACCTATGATAGTAGAAAGCTCAGTCTATATTTTATACTAGAAATATAGTACCCCATTTATAATAAATCTTCCCAGATTAACATACTCTAGAACATTATGTCTTTCTAATACTGTAACATTATTATCTCTGCCTATACTTCCTATTTTTGGAAAATATTAAAATAGCTTCTAAGGAAAATATATCAGTTTTCTGTAGCATTATTAAGTGCTTTATATGTGTAACTGCCAACAATTTTGAGTCCGTGGTTGGTTATAAAATCTGGAGAGGAAAAAGGTTTTAAATTTATGATTAATAATGAATCTTCTGAAAGTACTAGAAGTTGACATTTAAAATGCACAGCTTCTTTATAATAACAAGAATATTCTTTAATATGAGAAAAATAAATTATTTCTATATTTAAAGAACAGCATCATCTCTTAGAAATTCAAAAAATAAATGCAATTATATTTTTTCTTGATAAACACCTAACAAGGCAACTGTTAATTTCACCAGCTAGCAAAATATGGTATTGAGACCTGGTTTCATTATGGTATTTCTTTAAAACTTTTCAACAATTTCTCTCAAATATTTAATAATTGTTTAGAATGAAATCTACTTGGAAGTCTCATCCCACTTTAACCAGGTATGAAAATGAATACTTGCTGATATCCTTTGGGGCAAAAGTCTGGGTAAAACAATCCTAATAGAATAAAGCAGAAAGCAAGTGAAATTGACAAATGAAAAACTCTTCAGAAAGCTGACTCTTTGTTTTCCTTATTACAGTGTCTTTTTGTTTTGGGATTTTTGGTTATTTTTTTTTTTTTTTGGAGGAAAAATAATTTAAACCTCGGGAGAATTCAATTATGGCATGACCAAAATTAAGTTTTCTTATATAGTAACATAAAGAAGAGAAAAAATATTACTGGTAAAAGTAGACTGAATCAGAGAAAACCTATAGGATACTAGAATTTGCAAACCAGCCAGACAAGCTCTGTCATAGAATTCAGCATTCTTTTATAATCCCTTCCATTAACGCCATAAGCATTAAAACAATTAAGGGAGGGGCAGGACAATAGTCATCACTACACTCAGAATGATGGCTTCCTCCTTCCAAAATGAATTTCTTGCACTGTCTTTTTAGTTTATTTACTGTGGATTTTGGCTAAGGAGGAAGAGAGAATATAAAAAAGCATTGGAAACATTTCACAGTCTCTTGCCATCTCCGAATTCTCTCTGAAATTGAGTTGCAATTTGCTCACTCAAGAGTTTATTGCTCTAAGAAAATATTACATGCTTTCCTAATGCCATTTCTTTAAAGTTCTATGCCTTCATAGATAGCTTTAAATTAAGCTGCCATCTAATAATCTTACTTCTATACAAGAAAGCAGACAATAGGTGTGATCCTAATCTTTTGATCCTTTACAAAGACAAGGGGTCATTTGTCTTCCAGCAAAAAGTCTCCTCAGTTCCTTATTTAGTTTTTCTAAATGACTTTCTAAAACATGCCATAAAACGAACTCACTTTCCTTTAGTAGCTAATATCAAGCATTTCCTTTCAGCCACTAATTTTACAATTCAGTAGGTAGTATTCAAACGTATTGTCACATTATTTTTAACAATAACTGTGTGCTTGTTGTTCAAGTATTGGAACCCTTCATTTTTCTTATTAGTCATATACTCTAGTTTTCAAAACCATCTATGCCACAACGGCATAGTCCTTGTTTTGTTCGTTGTTATCATTTTCTTGGGGGCTAGTGATTTTTACTTCTGGCCTTGGTAGTCTTTGAGGGTCTAAATCAGCCTGGAAGAAAAGAAATCAAAACAAAGACAGCTTAGTTTCCAAAGGTATGACATGACTCAATATTCCATTTAATCATATCGATGTTCAACTGGAAACAGTTCTTGATTCCCTTTGTTGTTTAGTCTGCATTGCCCAGTATACACGCTATTCTCAGCACTTCCCTTTAAAGAATCTGTTTGTGGAACCATAAACCAGTACAAGTTTTAGGGGCACACACTCATTTCTTACACTTTCAGCTTGATTTTTCTCAATTTTTTTCTTTGACTTTTTTCTTTCCAACAGCAGATTTATACTTTTCATTTTAGCTTCGGCAGAGAAAAGGGAAGAGGAAAATACAACAGCCCAGCCCTCATGTACCCTTCATCTATTCCCATATCCCTTGGGGAAAATAATCCTACCAGAAATAAAGCAGAAAGCAAGTGAAATTGAGCTGTGAAAAATTCTTCATATCACTTACGCTTTTGTTATTTAGAATTGATAAAAGCATTGCAAATATGAAACCATACTTGAGAAGATAAATAGGGGGCCACTGGTGGCTCAGTGCTGGAAGTCTGGCCCTGCGTTTGAGTCCCGGCCAAGTCTCCTCAAGTGTAGCCACAACCCATCTGTCAGTGGAGGATTGCAAGTTGCTATGATGCTGCACAGGTTCAACAGCATGTTCAGACTAAGATGGACTTGGGAGAAAGGCCTAGTGATCTCCTTCTGAAACTGAGTCCATGAAATCCTATGGAGCACAATGGTCTGGTCCACAACCGATCGTGGGGATGTGCAGAGTCAGGCACTGTTTCCATTCCATTGTACATGGGGAATGCCAGGAGTCCACAGCAGCTACCACCACCACCAACAAGAACTTGACAAGAGCTGAGCAGGAAATCTAAATGCAGAGGCAGCATTTCCACAAAAACAGCTGTTGTGTCTACCACTTGGATTTCTAATATGTTATTATTAATATTGCAGTGCTGTAGGATATGCACTGGACCACAAGGTCTATTTGAATCAAAGGGCTGTGGTTCAAACTCACCAGCCGCTCCTCAGGAAGGCTAATAGGGTCACTATGAGTCTGAACTCACTTGATGGCACTTAACAACAACAACATTTACTATTTGTTTTTCTCTCACTGAACTGGAAACGGAGAATGGTAAGATTAGAATTTGCGGCTTCATGGAGTCTTAGAGAGTCTACCAACCTGGGGGACAATTCTGGGAGTAGCTCTGGGTCTCCCACTCTACAGTACTTGTTTTATGTTGTAAGAAAAGACAGGGAGAAAACCAAAGCTGGACTGGTACTTCATTTCATAATATTATCCTGCGAAATGGATGAAATACAATCTAGAAGGGACTAAAAGCTTGCTAATGGTCAACTGTTTGCTCTGCTTTTGCCATGTGTTCCCCGATATTTCCCTACAGTTGTTGCTCACTTTGCATAAGCGTGGAACAAACATGGGGCAGGGTATTACATGGGAAACTAAATTTTGAGTCATGATGTAAAAATTCTTTTGTGAATTAATTATTAATATCTGATGTACAATTTGTATAAATCTGGTTTTTCATATATTTGCTTTGCTGAAAGTATACCTGTGCTAATACTTCAGTGAGAGCAAGAAGAAAAACCAAACTCAAACTGAACTGCCACCAAGTTGACCCCTCTGTAGGGGACCCAACACTGTAAAACTTTATGGGAGAAGACAGCCACATCTTTTTAACCTTGGAGTGCCTAGTGAGTTTGAACCACTGACCTTGCAGTTTGCAGCACAACACCCAATCCACAGTAGGAGCAGGGCTCCCATTATAAGAATAGTTGAGTCAAATAACATTAACTATTTCTGTGGATCAATGCACCATCTAGGACATTTATATAGGTCTTGAAGTCCCTAACTAGCCACATATATGGAACTTGCTCATCTGAGTTCCCAAAATTCTGATGGATTCATGCCTAATACACATCATGAACTCCTATTTGGCCCTTGCCAAATTATATAGCATCCATCACGACTGATATACAATTCCTATCAAAGGCCTATTTTTAAGAGTTGCATTTATGGTAGACGAAGGACAGGACAGCCTTCATTTCTGCAAAATCTACTTTAGGTTTTAATGTTGCTTTAGCTAGCTACACCACTGGAAAAAGGCATACATGGATTTTACTTAGTGGTTCCACATAAAATTATACAAGTACTTTGGTTCTAGACTATAAACTTTCATCAATGCTCGGTACAGAAAAGAGCTACAAGAAACCAACTACTGAAGCTTCCATTTAAGTGGCAATAAAAACACTGTCCCTTACCTTCTTGTGCTTCCTAAAGGATTGATTCCCTTGGACAAGAAATTCTATTTCCCTTAAGAAACTTTTTTTTTTTTCCTTTTCTCTCCTTCAGAATGTTTTTTATTCCCTATCTGAAGGGAAGGAGTACTGGTGTGGTACTGTGGGTTAAAGCGCCTGACTGCAAGGTCACTTTGAACTGCAAGGTGGATGTTCAAGCACACCAGTCAATCCATGGAAACACTATACAGGGTCGCTATGAGTTGGTACTGACTCGAGGGCACTTAACAACAACAAGAAGATAGGCAGGGAAAGAATATCCTACTACTGACTTTTTCTTTTTCTTTTAGCTACCAACAGCCTCAAGATCCAATTTTTAGCTAAACTTTAGTGATCCTATGGAACTCCATATGGGGAAGCTTTTTTTCTAGCATAAGACTATGATTATCTCACCTTAAGAAAAAATTAAGTGAAAGATATAATGAGTGTGTTCATGTCTATGTTAAGATGTTTTTCTGTAAGCGGTAAATTATCAGTGGATCACAGATGACTTTACGTTGCAACCTGACCTCAAGAGCATTTTGTGTTTCTCCATAACTAAACCTGGTCTCCCCAAGCAAAATAGAACAGAACACATCATTCATCAAGGTGGATGTCAACGCTTGGTGCCTTGAGAGAGGCAGCCCCTAATATGATGGAGAAGTAGAAGTGAGAATGCTATGGATACATCCTGCCTTCAGATGAGGCCATGAAATTCAACTTAAGCCTGACAGCAATTGTTTCCTACTCATCAATTAGAATTTCACCTGGCCTATGGAGCTTCATCTAGCCTACGGGAGAATACCAGGCGCTGCGAATATCCTGCTTTGGGGCCAGTCATGGGTAGTTCTGATACATATTTCTTTTTCCTCTATTGTTGTTGTTGTTGTTATGTGCCATCGAGTAGGTTCCGACCCAAAGCGACCCTGTATAGGGTTTCCAAGGGTGTAAATCTTTACGGGAGTAGAAAGCCTCATCTTTCTCCCACGGAGCAGCTGGTAGTTTCGAACCGCTGACCTTAAGGTTCGCAGCCCGATTCGTAACCACTACGCTACCAGAGCTCCTTTATAGATAATAAGAATTATATAGTATTAAATCTCCAGTAAATTGGATACTTAATTAAATAAATTGCTATTAAAGTGGACAAAGCAAACTAGCATGTAATACTTCTAGAAAACAAAGAAGTTACTCATAATAAATATGGCAATCTTTTTATCATCTTTATACTCTCAGTGGTCTTGATATTCTTCCCTGGCTTGTATTTTTCCTTGTCTGTACTTATTTTTATTTGTTATTCATAATTCACTCTTTTATTATATATGTTCTTAGAAGCTTCTGGGAATGATTTTGTAGAATGAGCAGGAAATGGATGGATAGACAGATGAATGGATGGATGAATGAAGGACAGAGAGGCAGGCTTATGGACTACCACACAGTTGGCAATACTTGTTAACTGACTTAAACAATGTAGACAAGTAAAAGAGTCTTCCTTACTCAGTGTTTCAAATGCAAGTCCTACATTTCCTAAGCAGGCATGTGCACATAGGTGTGTACACACATGCACACACTCACCCACACCCACAAATTCATGCATATATACAAGTGAACACAATAGAAATACCTCATCCTGTGCATTGCCAGCACCTTGAGACTTTGTTTCCTCGTTCACTTCGGGTTGAGGCTCATCATTAACTTGGTCCAGTTCTTCACCATTTTCCTCATTAGTGCCTCCATTTACACGAGCAGGACCAGCCTGCCCCTCACTGTGATCCGAGGTCTCCCTGGCTGGCTCAGAATCGCCTGTAGCCTCCTGCCCTCCTTCATCTTCAACAACACCGTTCATTCCTGAGAAATCTTTTTGTTCTGTATCCTTGTTTTCTTTCTCTCCATCTTCTTCCTCATCTACTATTTCAGCTGGCCTCTGAAATCAAAAGTAAGAAGCAAAACATTTCCTTTTCCATGGAGCATTATACTAAAACAATAAACTGGTATTTTATAGTCATTAAACATCTTTATATTTGCATTGCATGCTAACCTTAACTGAGCATCTATGGCATGACATACTTTACAGTGTTCTCTCCTTCAGTCCGCACAACAATCCTGTGAAGTTGGTATTATTCCTATTTTATGGATGAGAAATTAACATACAGTCCTACTAAGTAGCCAGCCCCAGATCTCACTGTGTATGAATGGAATAGCCAGGATTTGAACTAAGCATGTAATTCCAGAAAGAATGCTCTTAATCCTCAAGTCAGACAGGAAAGTGAACCACAGAGTTCGCCATCCCATGTCCCAGAAGAAGATGTACATAAAGGCCTTTGTGGACAGATTGCATCCTTCCTTCTAAATGTGATGGCTCCAGGATATGGAATGTGAAAAGTTTCCCATGGGATAACTAAGAAAGCTGGCAATATTAAAAAAAAAAAAGCTAAAAGAAAAAACAAACAAAAACAAGTAAGCAATTGTCATGCAGATCCAAGGCCAATAAACTGTATGTCCTATCTATACAGACAACAGATGCAAAAATGTTTTTAGAAACTCAAATTAGGCATGTTTGTTATTTGTTGTTGTTAGTGTTGCTGTTAAGAGCTGTTGAATCAGTTCTAACTCATAGTGACCTTGTGTGGGGTTTCCAAAGAGTAGCTACTGGGTTTGACTCACTGATAGTAGCCTAGTGCTTATTTGGTCTAGTGTCACACTTGTTATTGTTGTTAGGTGCCATCAAGTCGGTACTGACTCATGGTGACCTTATACACAACAGAAAGAAATACTGCTCAGTCCAGTGCCAAACTCACAATCGTTACACTTGAGTCCATTGCTGCTGCCACTGTGCCAATCCATCTCATTAGGGGTCTTCCTCTGATTTACCAATCCTCCACTTTACCAAACATGATGTCCTTTTCTAGAGACTGGTCCCTCCTGATAATATGGCCACAGTATGGACACCCTAGCTTCTAAGGAACATTCTGGCTGTACTTCTTCAAACACAGATTTGTTTGTTCTTTTGGCAGTCCTTGGTACTTTAAATATTCTACTCCAACACCATAACTCTTGTACAGTCTTCTTTATTCATTGTCCATGTTACATGTGTGTGTATGTGTGTGACCACACTTAGATACATGTAAATCTGAGGAATGCTGAATTGCAGAGCCAAGGACTATGGAGGAAGAAAGACCCACATTCAGGCACTTACTGGCTGCTACCTGGCTTCTGTGAGCTTCAAATCCTCCACTTGTAAAATGGGAATATAATAAGGTATCTCTGGGGAATAAACAAATTACACATGAGACCCTCCTCAGCCACTGCCATCGAGTTGATTCTGACTCATAGTGACCCTGCAGGACAGAGTAGAGCTGCTCCTTAGAATTTCTGAGACTGTTCATCTGTAGAGGCGCAGACAGCCTCATCTTTCTCCTACAGAGCAGCTGGTGGATTTGAACCACTGATCCTGTGGTTAGCAGCCTAGTGCTTTACCCACTGCCCCACCAGAGCTCCTTTAGATATGTGAAGATGGTTGACATGGCATGATTTGCCACACATATGTACAATTTAAAAATTTTTTTTTAAATAATGATGGGGAAAACTTAACTGTCATGTCAAGTACCTAGTGCAATACCTGATATAACACGGATCCCAGAAAACATTTTAAAAAAGAGTCTCATTTGTTGTGATGCATGTTCTTCTAGAACAATTATATTTCTTCATTTTACCCAAAGAAAAAATGTTTTGAAAAAAATAACAAGGCAGAAAGCACACAGGTTTTGTTCTGATGTGAGCATCCTAGATCTGCTTTTTGCTAACTGTCTAACTGTGGGGCAGGTTTCTGTTAAATGACCTTCTTTTCAACCCTGCAAACCCATTCTTCTCTTCTAATTGCCCAAATAATAGCTATGGAACTACTAATGGTCTCTTTTGCAAAAGTCAATAAAATGCTCTTAGTTTGGGAATTATAAAACCCATTGCCCTCAATTCCAACTCATAAAACTGTCCTTTAGGGCTTCCAAGGCTGGCATCTTTATAAAGCAGCCAGCCACAGGGTGTGGCTGGTGGGTTTGAATTGCCAACTTCTTGTTTAGCAGCTAAGCTCTTAACCACAGCACCACCAGTACACCTGTTGGGAAGTACTATTGTCATTGCTAAGTGCTGTGGAGTCAGTTCCGACTCATAGAAACCCTAGTTAGGGTTTCAGAGGCCGTAGAAAATAAAGGAAAGTTGATCAAACATTCAAGGATAAAATTCAACACAATATCCTTTTGAAAAGGAGGGAGTTGGAACTAAGAATTCCTATAGTCTATCAGAAAGAGAGTCTTAAAATGTATCATATGATACAAGATGCACTTTTTTAAAATGCTGGAACAATATTATTACTCTGAGAACCATAGTGTTTGGCATTGTGCAGATTAAATAATAGTACAGTGAGGCAGGTCATTCAAATTTTCGATCAGATGTTTAACGTCAAACAGTGTTGGGTCCGTCTACTCATGCTACCCAAGGGAAGGCCCCCAGGCAGGCAGAATGTGGTGCAGAAACTCATTGTGGGTGATGGTGGATCTTCCAGCAAGAAAGAAAAGGCAAAAGATGTATAAAATCGCAAGAAAGTGCTTATTAAGGTGTAACTATTGGTCTCTCCAAATGTGGAAGAAAGAATAGTGATGAAAACTGAAGAAGCTTAGAATCAATTAGTCCAACGGAACCTGTGGACATCAGTCCCCACAACTCTGAGACCAGAAGAACTAGATGGTGCCCAACGACCACTACCAACTACTCTGAGTGGGACTACATTAGAATGTCTTGGATAGACTGGGATAAAATGTAGAACAAAACTTAAAATTACAAAAAGAGATTGGTCTTATTGGTCAGAAAGCGACCGAAGGAACCCAAGACTATGGCCCTTGGCCACCCTTTAGGTCAGGAAAGGAACTCAACCCAATGGCCCAATTTTCAGCAAAGCAGTAAATAGAAGTATGTTGTTTTTAAGTGCCATCAAGTCAGTTCCGACTCACAGCAACCCTGTATAGTGTTTCCAAAGAGCAGCTGGTGGGTTTGAACCACCAACCGTGATTGGCAGTGCAGTGCTAATCCTACAGCACCACACCAGGAGTTCATAGATAGGTATATTGGGATTGTTGTTGTTGTTATGTGCCATGGAGTCGATTCTGACTAATAGTGACACTGTATAGGGTTTCTGAGGCTAGAAATCTTTACAGAAGCAGAAAGCCTCATTTTTCTCCTGTGGAGCAGCTGGTAGTTTCAAACTGCTGACCTTGTGGTTTGCAGCCATAGGGATCATTTGAGTCAACTGTTTTTTGTGAGGATTTTTGTTGTTGTTGTTGTTACTTTACTGTGTCATCTAAATGAACTCAGAGTACAGTTTTGAAAGTTCATGAAAATATTCAATGAAAAGATAATGGAATTTTGCCTTGAACTTCTTAATGTCAACTCTTGTTCATGTAGTTATGGTCTTTAAAATCACTGTGGACATTAAAGGATGGAATACTGAACCTAGGAGAAATACTGGGTTCATCTGAGAACAAAACATTACCGGATTTTACAAAACATTACCGGATTTTTATTAAAGACTTTTGGTGCAATTTGGTGGGGAACATTATAAAGGTTGTTAGGCAGAGTATCTGAAGCAGCACATAACAAAAACGCAGAAGTACTGCAGCAATAATGGCTAATAAGAGTAGATTTCTTTTTTAATTACCTCTGAAAATTGGGTAATGATAGATCACTCCTAGATATGGCTTCCATTCTTATCATGCCTAAACTTGCCTTATTTCAAGCAACTTTTGGTATTGGTTTTATTAAAGACAGAGTGTTTATTAATTTAAAATTTTTATCATAAATTATTTTATTTTAATAGTATTTATGCTATATTAAAGGAGCCCTGATAGCACAGTGATCAAGCACTTCATTGCTAACCATATAGTCAGCTATTCAAATCCAGCACAACTGCTCCATTATGATAAAGCTGTGGGAATTCACGTCCCTAAAGATCACAGAAACCCTGGGGGGCAGTAGTATCCTGTCCTATAGGGTTGATGTGTCCACATCTGGTGACAGCCATGGACTTGTTTTGTTTTGGAATGTTGTGTTGGTATTATGGACTGCTGGTGTGGTGCTGTAGGATCAGCACTGGACTGTGAACCACAAGGTCGGCAGTTCAAACCCACCTGCTCCTCAGAAACCTCATACAGGGTGGCTATGAGTCTGAAACAAATCCATGGCACTTAACAACAATAAAAATAATTAGTATTATAGGGAACATGGTGGCTCTGTAAAATAAGAACTGGACTGCAAATCACAAGGTCAGCAGTTTGAGATCACCAGCCGCTTCACGGGAGAAAGATGAGGACTTCTGCTCCCACAAAAGATTTATAACCTCAGAAACCCTTTATTGTCAATCGAAGTTGGAATTGATTTGATGGCACTTACGAACAACATTAATATTATAGTAACATATCAATAAATTGTATTAATATGTTCATTACTTGAATTAATTATGATTAATTTATATTAATGTTTGGTTCTATGTTGTTATGTGTCATAAAGTCAGTTTCAACTCATAGGACCCCGTTAGGTTCCCAAGAGCAATTGGGGGTTTTTAACAGTTATAATATTATATTATTATTATAAGAGACAACTCATAGTTTACTATAATTATTTAAGAACCAAAATAATTATATATTTCTTGCCTCTCTAATTGTATATGAGGGGACTTCAAAAGTTAATGGAAAAAATGGAATCAAAAGAACATGGAACCACATTCATCACTGATAAGGGGAAGTGAGGGAAAAACAGCAATGAAGCAGTGAGCTAAGCCCTACAATGTTCAATAGACTTCTATGAACCCGGGTGAAGACCTGGTTGGCCAGCAGTGTGGCAAGACCTGGAGACTCTTGAGCCCAGAGTCAGTAA